CCCTCCGGGGGGTGATTTCTTACTTTCTATCTCTGTCTTTCTGTCTTTCTGGCGAGTGCACGTGCCCAGTAGCAAAAAAATGTCTCCAAAAAAAAAAGTTATTCTTTTTCTAAAACAAGTAACTCATTTCTGTAGACGTGTTTTCCCTCTGCCAATATGACAAATTTTAAAACTAGAATTAAGAATCCTTGGAATGATCCAATCTCATGGTTTTGAATAAAGAAACAGGGGACAAGAAAGGTTTAAGTCATTTACTCAAGGTTACACAATTATTAATGCTTTGTAGCAGAGCAAAAAGACAAGCTATATCAGGCCTTCTACAAGTTTGCTTTTCTTTTCTTTTCTTAAACAAAAACAAAATTTATGATTTTTCAAGATGTTTATAGAAAGGCCTACAGATGTTTACAGACCCATTACATCTAGTTTTAAAGAATCTATCTCTGGGGACCAGCAGTTAGCGTAATCGCTATGTCACTGGACTCCCATGTAGTCGACCGCAGTTCGCATCCCGGACCCGGTGGCTTAAAACTCACGCTGGGCGTGTGTGCATGCGTGCCCAAGATCCCGAGAGGAGAACAGAGGAGAAGGGATTGCTGCATGGCCATCCCCCCTGGAGGTTGATTTCTCGCTTTCTGTCTCTCTCTGTCTGGTGAGCGCACGCGCCCTATAGCAAAAACCTCTCTCAAACAAACAAACAAAAAAAGAATTTATCTCTGTAAAATTATTTATTTATTTATTTTTTTGGGAGAGATTTTCACTGTAGGGCGCGTGCGCTCACCAGAAAGACAGAGAGAGACATAGAGACAGAAAGCGAGAAATCACCCCCCCAAGGGGGATGGTCATGCCGCAATCCCTTCTCCTCCATTCTCCTCTCGGGATCTTGGGCACGCACGCACACGCGCCCGGCCTGAGTTTCAAGCCACCGGGTCCGTGACACGAACCGCGGTCGACTAAGTGGGAGTCCAGCGACATAGCCATTACGCTAACTGCTGGTTCCCTCTGTAAAATTATTTTTGTGGGGTGTTTCTCCTTACTTTCTAATTTGTCTATAAAAAATATGTATTAATCAGTAACATAAGAGAGTTTTGAAATATAAGATCTTACCATTTCATCTTGTACTCCATGGCGATCAAACTGGTAAAATGATGCTACATGAGTAATAATCCACCAACTAAAACCCAATGGATCCCTGGGCTGGATTACAGGCACAGGTCTTCTTTGGTCACTTGATTTTTCAAAGAGTGTTTTAAGTACTTTATTCAACCAGCTCCAAAATGACTACAAAGATAAAGATAGGATGATTCTGTTAAATTAAGACACTATTCCACTAACCTTTGATTTCGTTTTTCCTCCTTTTTCCTACTGATGTATACATACAAAATAGAATATAAAAAATATCAAAAGAAAACTTAAATAATAAAAATACGTAGCTTTTAGAACATGACCAATACTCAAGAAACACCTCAGATATCCTCACAATTACATCTTCTCCCACCCAGGGATAATGGTTATCCTGATTTTCGTGATAAATCATTCCTTTTCTTTTATAAGTTTTGCCATATAGGCATATTTGAATATTTAATATTCATCTGTTGACTTTATGACTTCACCTGTTTTATTCTGTAATATGTATTTATAAAGTCACTTATTTCTAATAACTTGCTTCTTTTACTCAACATTATGTGTATGAACTCATCTGTATTAATGAATATAGCCAAGTTCACCAGACTATATGAATATATGACAATAAGATAAACCATTTACCCAATCTAATATTGTTGAACATTCAGTGAGTTTTAGTAAGATTTTTTTCTAGATATTTCATATAAATGCTCAGGTTAGTTATGAGACATAAAGCTGTTGACAGTGTTTCTACATTTCTAAGATGTCTACAGAATCTGAAATTGTGTTCACTTTTTAACTTGTAGCATTGACTCTTTTTATAATCTTCTCAAGAAAGATTAGCCCATTTTAGCTATCATTTGTAAGACCCAACTTTTGGTTGTTTTGATTTTCACTGTTGTTTGCTATTTTGTAACTTTTTACAATTTTTATTTTTTCCCCTGAGTTTATTATGAAGAGATTATATCTAATATCTTGAGAAATACTCTTAGTTAATTCATTTTCAACCATTTTTTTCTCTCTTTTCTATTTTAAGTTATAAATTTCCCACTAATTATAACTTTAGCTGCAGTCTCAAAGCTTTATCTTGTAGTAGGTTACTTACTTCAAAGTATATTTATGGGAGGTATTGAGAAAGTTCATGGAAAGCACATATTATTAAAGAACGATACATGGATTTCCAAATATTTTTCACCAAAATAAAGTCATACTTTGGGGCCAGCAGATGGTGTGATACTTTATGTTGCTGGACTCCCACGTTGTTGACCACAGTCCAAATCCCAAACCCAGAAGCTTAAAACTCACACTGGGCGTGTGCATGCGTGCCCAAAATCCTGAAAGAAGTATGGACTGCAGCATGGCCATCCCCTCTGGGAGATGATTTCTCACTTTCTGTCTCTGTTTCTCTAGTGAGCAAACACACCCTACAGCAAAAATCTCCTCTCTCTCAAAAAAAAAAAAAAAAGAAATATAAACTCATACTTTAATTCCAATTCTAAAACCTATCTGAAGTTCCCTTGTAACATACACCTTTTTCTTTTTCTTTTTTAATTTTTTTTTAATGAGAGGATGGGAGAGAGAGCATGTGCAGAAGAGAGAGATAAATAGAGACAGCTTTTCTCAACAGGGTCTCATCACTGTCACAACTGTTCCTGCCCCAGCCAGCATCCCAGCTAGACAGGACCACAAGTTTATACCACCACGCTTGCCTCTTTAGATTGGGCCAGAAACTGAACCCAGGTATCCCATGTAGCCTCAGACACCTTGCAGTGGTGTCCACTGCTTGTATCACCTGACAGGACCTTCAAAATATTTTTATTTATTTATTTTTATCTCATGACAGAGAGAGAATCAAACAGACAAACAACATCACAATCCTCCCTGCAGACTTCCTGCGAGCCGGGATCATGAGTATACTCCTGTACCCTGCAATGTACAGATCAACCCAGGAACCAAACCCTGATCTTCCACATGGCTTCCAGCACTACAGAGCAGCATGCTAGTACTGCCTTGCTACTGTGGCTGGGTTCAAACATTATATAATTTCTATTATCTTTACTTTTAACTTGGAGGTTAAAAAGATATTTTAATATCTCTAAGCATATAGGTTTTTCCCCCTAAAATTCAGTTATTTGCTAAATTTAACACATTATGAGCCAGATGTATCAGTTTGCTAGACTCCTCTAATATATATGGAAATTTAGCAGGTTTCTACTATTAAGAGTGTTATGAACAATACTCCAATAAATAATCTTAGGCATATACATTTTTTAAATTTTGGGTAGTATATGGTAAAGCCAAGAAATGGGGTTGCTAGGGTTCAAAGTTATAAAAATCTTTTTATATATTTTACTGCTGCCTGACTTTTTCTGAAGTCTACTGTCAAATTATTTTTCTCTTTTGAGTCATTTTGCCTTTATGCCTAAAGGAATTGGAGATGTCCTAGAAGATTCAAGGTTGTTTTTATTATTATTAATTATTATTATTTTTTTTTTTATTTATACCTTGAGAACAAAAAAGAGACACACTGTTGACAAGGTGTTCATGCTGTAGTCCACGCATGGCCAGTCATGAGCATTCACATACAACCAGCATGTACAGGGAAACCTCTGGACATGAACCTAGAATCTTCCCTGTGGGTCAAGATTACAGAGTGTTGCATTAATGCTGCACCACTGTAGCTGGCCTAGATTTTCCTGTAACATGTAAAGTCAAACAGACTCTGTAGGACATGTATTGGGATGAACTATTTGAGGCTAATCTCTCAAGTTATCTAGTAAGTCCTTTTGAAATGTAGATTTAGGTCATCATCTTTTTTTTTCTTTTATTCTTTTTATAGAGATTTTTGCTATTGGGTGTGTGCATGCACTTGTCAGAGAGACAGAGACAGGAAGTATAAAATTGCACTCCTCTCACACGGGGAGGGGACAGTCATGCCACAATCCCTTCTCCTTCATTTTCTTCTTGGAATTTTGGGCACATACACATGCACATGCACCCAGCATTATTTTAAAGTCACCAGTCCAGAACCTGAACCTAGGTAGACCATGTGAGAGTCAGTGCCTTAACTACTACACCACCTGCTGGCTGTGATTTAGATCTTTTATTCTGGGACATTTCCTTAGATTACAATTTTGAGTATTAGCTATATCTCATTGTTTTGCTTTCTTCTTTAGGGATTCCATTCATATGTATGCTTATTTCATTTTTGCCTATCTTCCATTTCAACCACTTTCTAACTCTTTACATTTCTTTATCTTACTTTATTCCCTTGTTTATTTGTCAGCCATTCTTCCATGCCCCTTATTAAATTTTCACTTAAGTGAAATTCTCTTGGATACCTTGTAGTTTAGTCAGTTTTGACTATGAGTGTGTCCTTCCATTTTGTTCTACATTTAATTTACTCTTTATCTGTCCTTGTTTTATATCCATTTGTTTTAAACATCTAGTACTTAATTCAAGATGGTTTTTTATACCCCTACATACTGTCTGAGTATATTTAATTCAATATGCACTGATTTATTATAATTTTCTTCTGCTTTGTAATTATTTCTGAAGAGATTATTAATAGCTAAAATATGGGACCAGTAGTTAGCGTAATGGCTATGTTGCTAGACTCCCGCGTAGTCGACCGTGGTTCGAGTCCCGGACTCGGTGGCTTAAACTCACGCTAGGCGCGTGTGCATGTGTGCCCAAGATCCCGAGAGGAGAATGGAGGAGAAGGGACTGCGGCGTGGCCATCCCCCCGGGGGGTGATTTCTCGCTTTCTATTTCTCTGTCTCTCTGTCTGTCTGGCGAGCGCACGTGCCCTATAGCAAAAACCTCTTCAAAAAAAAAAAAAATAGCTGAAATATGTCAGTTTTGTTTGTTTTTCTTCTAATAATGTTATGATAAAGACATACTTAGTTTTAGTCTTTGTATTTTTCAAATTTGGACTAGGCAAAAAATTACTAGTTTAGGGACACCATCTTCTACTGACAAACAGAAATTGAATTATCTCACTGAACTTTTCTTCTTGGTGGAGGAAGACTGGGTATGAGTCCCCTGTTATTTTTTTTTTCCTTTTGGTTATTGGTGGTACATTGTTTATTTATTATTTTTTAAGAGATTTTTGCTATAGGGCAAAGAGAGAGACAGACAGGAAGTGAGAAATCATCCCCTCCCCCAAAGGGGGTGGCCACAATACAACCCTTTTTCCTCCTGGGATTTTAGGCACATACGCACACATGCCCGGTGTGAGTTTAAGCTGCCGGGTATGGGACTCAAATTGCAGTTAGCTACATGAGAGTCCAGCGACGTAACCATTATGCTACCCACTGGTCACAGTAGTACTTTATTTTATAAAAACCGTTTTAAGTTTTTCGCTTTTCTCTCCTGTCCTCTTCACTACCCAACCGTCAAAGGCTCCCACTACTCACTTTTTGCTTTTGTATCTTCAGAAACTGTCTCCAAAGACATCCTCACATCATGCACATGCTTTTATGTTCCTTTCCAATAGCCATTTCTACAATCTGGAAGGAAGCTTTTGCAGTATTTCCACATTCTGACAATGATTTTAGGCCAACTTTATGACTGCCATCAGCTCTCTTCTGAGCAGTTTTCCTCAGACTATTCCTGCTTATTAAAAAGTCTTGTGGTAAAAGAACTAGTGATTGTTACTTTTTAAAATTTACAGCATCAAGAATTCTTATTCTGTGGTTGTATTATCAGCATGTTTTTAAGTGATTTTATTTGTTCTTGCTGTTGTATATTTTCTGAGGGCTAACGTAAGAAGATGTAAACTTAGGCATCCATCTGATCTTCTTGGCTACCTGTTAGCCAATGCTTGAAAAATAAATGTTGTTTCTGAGATCTTTGCCTTAGAGTATGTGAACTAGCCAGAGAGAGAAAAAAGACAGAGGGAAACTGAGAAATCACCCCACAGTGGGGATGACCATGCTGCAATCCCTTCTCCACTCTCCTTCCAGGATGTTGGCTATGCATCCACACACGCCTGGCGTGATTTTCAAATCAGGGAGTTCGGGACGCAAACTGCAATCAGGCATGTGGGAGTCCAGCGATTTAATCACTATGCCACCTGATGGCCCCACTGCTTGAAATATTTAATAAAATCCAGGTGATATGAACTCAGGTATAAACTTGCATTAAGACTGAAT